CTTGTTGAATTTCTCGAGCGCCTTCCGCAGGGGCGCGGGCGGCCGCAGGATCAGCATGTTCCGCGTGCGCGCGGCGTGGGGGAACATGACGTAGAGGCGCAGCCGCCGCTGCTCGTCCGACATGCCCGCGCGACCGGCGTCCTCCTCCCCGGCGCAGTCGACGGCGGCGCCCTTGCGCAGCGTCTGACCCTGCGACAGCGCAGGACGCGCGCGCCAGGGTGAACCCCGAGCGGCGCGCGACGCGCGGCCCCGAGCACTGCCGCGTGAACTCCTGCTCGCTGGGCCTGAACATGAGCAAGCTCCTCGCCCGCGCCTCGGCCGCGCCGTCGTCGCCAGCGCCCTCGGCACTCTGCAGAAGCACCTCGGCGACCTCCTTGTAGATCGGGGACTCCTTGAAGCCGTGGACCTGCGTCCAGATTCCCCGCGGTAGGTAGCGGGGGCGAAAGAGCTGGCCCGGCGCGCGCTCCTCGTAGTCTCGCTCGTCGTCTGCGTGAAACTCGAAGGGCGCGATGGTGGCCCGTTGCTCCTGCGCGAGCCCCAACTTCTTCTTCGGCTCCTCTTGCGCGGCCGTGAACCGAACCTCTGCGCCGACGCGTGCCGGTAAGGCGCCGTGGATGTCCCTCGTCTCGCGCGTGTTCGGGACGTTCCGGAAGCGGCGGCCTGCGTCTGGGTCGCCACGAGTCGCGCCGCACTCGTCTACGGCCCGCAGGAAAACGAAGGGCGCGCCCAGACGCCGCGCGCCGCGACGAGCACGCGCGTTGATCCACCTCGCGAGCGTCTCCCAGTAGATGCCCATGCCGAAGCCGAGCCGAAAGATCTCGCGCTGGTGCCGAGGGCCCAGGAAGCCGTGGCTGTCCGAGGCCAACGTCTTCTCCTAGGCAGACCAGACCTCTGGCGGGAAACGCTTGCCCCCGCGCATGCAGCCCAAGAACGCGATCAGAGGGCCCCCGGCTCGAAGCGCTTCGTGCCCGTCAGCTCGAAGACGCAGGGGAAGCGAGAGAAAACGCTGATGGCGTGCTGAATCTCCACCGTCGGCGGCTCCGCGTACTTGCGGGGCCCGTCGCCCTGGCGCTCGTTCACGTCCGTCAGGGGCCTGATGCTGCCAGTGGGCTTCAGCTGTGGGAAATCGCCGAGGTGCAACGCGATGGGGGCGCGCCCGAAGTGGTGACGCGGCCCCTTGTAGGTTGACTCCTGCGCGTCGCGCGTGTCACTGCGCCCGCGGCAGGCGCGAAAATCCAGCACGTTGTGCAGGGCAGCCGCCACCATGCCCACCTCCTCGATGACCAGAACGCGGACGTGCTCCCACGACCACTTCAGCCTCTTCTGCATGCCCCCCGGCCTCATCTTCGTGTCGATGTACTTCTGGACTCGCAGGGCGCAGGCGTTGTGCAGCGTTCTGGCCTCCGCAGTCTCCGCGGAGATGTTCTTCGCCTGCGCGTTCGAGAAGGCCGCGACCATCGCGGCGCCCTTGTCCTGCGCCGACGAGGGCCGCAAATGCTCCACCACTGGGAAAACGACCTTCTGCACCGCGTGCGTCTTCCCCGAGCCGCCCTGGCCCAGCAGGAGCAAGTGCGTCACTTTTCTTTCGCTCCAGGGCTTCTTCTGCGCGTCGTCCTCCCAGGCGTCGTCGCCGGCCTTCGCGAACTTGGCGACGAATTGCGCCCGGTCCCGCGTGAGTCTCTCGATCTCCGGCAACCCAGCGACCAGGGCGGCCATGCGTGCGCTGGGCGTTGAATACACGATGCGGGCAAAACTGGCCGCAGCAAGGTCGCCGCCCAGGCCGCCGGCGCCCTCCTCCTCCTCGCCGTCGTCAGCGCCCGCGTCATCCTTGTCGCGATTGCCCTGGAGGCGGTCGTCGCGCAGGTTTGCCCAGGCGCGTCCCTCCTCGCGCGCTGCGGTCACCAGCGGTCGGTATCCGGCCGCGGGCGCAGGAGCGGTCGAGGCCTCCGTCGGCTCGGGCGCTCCCGCGCCCTCGCGGGCCGCCTCGGACATGCGCGGGAGCGCGAGGAGCTCCTTGGCCAACCTCGTGAGGCGATTGCGGTGCGCGAAGGTCAGCACGTCCGCCATGTCCTGCTCCCCGTGGATGTCCCATGTCGGCACCGGCTGGAAGTGCGCTCGGACCGCCGAGGGGGGCGCGCCCGGGTGCTCCACGCCTTCGCCCGCCTCGGCGCCCTCGTCCTGACCGGCGCCTCCACAGGTGGTCGCCTTGAGGTGCGCGTTCTGCGCGGCGGCGTCGCTCTGGTACTGCCGTTTTTTTTCTCTTCGCGTGCCAAGGCGATTCCCTCGAGGTTTGGCGCCACCTGCATGGCCATCATGGAGACGCACTGGTGCACCGTCGCCTTGGGTTTCTCCCTGTCGGGGCAGCGGACGGGGTCCACCGAGTCGCCCTCCCCGTCCTCGCTCACAGACAACGCTCCCGCCTAATACTTCCCCCGTATTCAAGCCGCAGGAGCTGAGGAACCCAAAAAGCTCGCTCGGATGACCCGCCTCGGATTCGAAC